TGCCTGATTGCATCAGCCCCATGGGGGTATTTTCCAGCCGGAGGCTCTCCAGCTGGCCAAGGTGTTGGAGCTGGTTAAGTGTGTGCCCTGGAGGGTTTTCCGCCTGATCACCCGTCCAATCAATCTGTTTACGCTTATGGATGCGCCAGACGGATTATTTACACAGGGGCAGTTTCGGTAGGCAATGTTCCTCATAAGTGGCTATTTAGTCTGATATATTGCCTGCGATGTGGAGTTGGCTAGCAACGCACCCAAAATGATAGTCTAGGTGGCAATTCTAGAACCATACATCATCAACCACATAGAGGTAGCAATACAGCAATACCTGTATATACGTTCTTCGGTAATTTTCTTTGCCCTCCCTAAAATGCAGAACTTTTACTTAACTCAAGAAAATGTACCCTAAATTACCCTACCCTAAATATTATGTTCACTTTTTAGGGGCATGTTTGTAATTGCTTTTATAGGTTTAAGTTTATGCCTTTTTAAGATATAAAAGAAACTCATATAAATTTTCATGAGCCTAAAATGAGTATGCAACAAATCACACATTTATTTCCAGAACAAGCGAGCCAACTATTTGAAATTTAATTTATTCCATCTGTGAAACCCATCGTCTATCTCCGTCAAAGCTCTCGAAATTTTTAATTAGCGCAATAAACCTTCAAATGTTGCTGTTAATTCGATTAAATGGTGGAAACAACGCCCGGATTCCGGGTCATCTGACATTGCTGACAACTGCAGTGGCTGGGTAGCGCAGAAAGCTGGAAAATGGGAAATGGGAAATTCCCCCGAACAATGCTGCACCTGTTACTGCAGCAGCAATAAAGCAAAGCAGCAGCTCAAATTTCTGCGCCCCACACAGCTGTGGGTGGTAGTTCTCCCACCCCCGTTTTCCATTCAGCTTTTCATTTAATTGCGGTCGACTTTTGGGGTTTTGACTTACACAAGGCGAGCAAATCGGGCAGGGGAGTGGCCCTCGCCAGCAAAATGCCAATCATCAATCAAGGTGATTTGTTTCAATGCCCCCCAGCCACACATTTCACGCTGTTGTGCATTTCGAAATGGACAGGCACTGATAGCGGTCGAGGGGGTCTAGCGGGGCTGCTTTTCGAGGGGGTTTCCGGGGTCGGAGGTCGGGTAGGGTATGCAGAGGTTCATTCGGCTTGGCACATGTGGCCAATCACTTGCATACACTTCAATTGCTGTGGTTTACTCACTCTCAGGCGCATTCCTCTCGCTTATACGCAGCGAAGTACAAGAATAAGTCCTACATGATCCTTGATCAAAAGTAAACAGTAATACAGAAATACTTCACATGTAACTGGCCAAAAAACGTGATTATTTTATCAAATTAAATTGAAATACAAATGCCATGAAAAATATGCACTCATTCGTATTGCACTTTATATTCATTTGAGGAAAATCGCAAAGGGTTGCGCATGAACGTGGTCAAATTCGACTGGCAGTTGTTGTTCATCAATGAATTCAATCACGAAAATGCTGCCCCATTTGGCAGGGACCCTTTCTCGATGTCTACTCACACTCACACTCGCACTCACTCAAACAGTCACAACACTCACAGCACTCGAACCCCCACAGACAACACTCCTTACCGCACTCATTCACTCGTTGCATATTCATGAGCCAAGCGCTGGCCTCCTTGTTTGAGTTACCGACGTGGCTTTGATTTAATTGCCTCGATTTTGTCTATAATTTATTTTAAGCCTTATCCTCCGTTCGAGGACTAGCCTTCTTTGCCCACCAGCCACGCCTCCTTCCACGGGGGCATGGGTAAGTAACCTTTCGTTCCATAATAAATGGACATATTACATTATAACTTCCTTGTACTATCCTTGAAGCAATGAATTGATGGCAACATTGAAAGTTACTTTAAAATTGCAAACCTGTAACTTTTGGAGGGAATCCAATAGTTCAACATTTCGCTCCCAGCCTTTGCTGCTTAAGTTGTGGAATATCACATTTTATCCTGGTTCCGCCAAGGGATCCTGCTCCTGGAAACCGCAGCAGCACATTTTTGACGCTTTAAAAAGTTGTGGGGCTACCGCTATTTTCATGCGCCATTCACTTTTGTCGCCATTCAGTGCGGGCTAAGAAAAATAGGAAGAAAAGCCCGCTGTCTCGCAGGATACTCCTTCTCGTTCTGGCCAAGTTAGCCCTCTGTTTTTCGTGTTTGCAGTCATGTTTCATACTTTTTCGCAGACATTTTTAGCACTTTTTTAACATTCCGAGAGAGGTGTGCGCATAAATTTCTTGGTGCCCTGCAGGCGAATTCTTTATGCAGAATATTCCGCAGTTGCGAAAATAAAACGCTGCAAATCGTTAGAGGAGGAAAGACGCGCGGGAACTAAATTCAGTTTAAGGCCAGACTGATTGTAATTTGATTTGGCCCCACCCGCATTTTCCACCGATTTTCCACCCACTACCGATTTTGGTGATTTCGTTTTCCTAGCGACAACAAATGTCATTTCCTGTCGCCGTGCGAATTGTGACCCCAGAAATCGTAATCGCACTTTATCTATTAGTGACGTTTTCTTGCCACGCCCCTCGACTCCCAGTCGACCTTTAATGAAATTTACTCGGGTCGCCCCGTTTCCTATTTACTTTTGCGGCACGAAATTAATAAAGGCCCTCGTTGGCCACCATCCCCCCACCATTCGGTTTCGATCTGGACAAGGCCAAGTGGAAACTTAATCCCCAAGGAAATTATGTGAAAAATGTGCGTTGGGTTTGGCTTTTGTCCGGCGTTTTCCTTTTCCTCGCAGGCTGGCTGGGGATTTTGTATTATTTTTTTGATGCTCTAAGTTGTTAAGCGGCGAATAGCTGTAAATATTTTTGTTGGTTGGCTTAAAACATTCAGCGTATGGCCGGAAATAAAAACTAAGGGATGGGGTGGTGTCAAGCAAAGGGTATATCAACAAAGGCAACGTGACCCCTTTTCATTCCTAGCTCGGAGCTGTCCTTTTCCGCTTTTTCTCCGGAATTGGAGGTTCATTTTTAAGCTGCGCAATTATCATTAAGTGGAGGCCGTTCTGTAGATCAGAGGCGTTTCCATAGGAGGGGATTTAGGGGTTTCTAAGGAATTTTGCTAGACTACTGTGCAAAGGAATCTCAGAGAATAATTCATCTAAGTATCAGAATAGTAGTGAGAGATGAATAGAAGTAATTAGACATTAGTAATTCTAGGAATCCAACCTGGATATCGAAAACTTAACTTATTCTTGAACTCAAGTTGGAAAACGCTACTTAAAAATATGACCAAAAACTAAGAGGTTTTTAAAAAGCGGCTGTTATTAATATACAAAAAATGTAAGAATCATAAATATATAATTTTCCTATTATAATTTTAATCGGATAGGATATCCAGTTGGTATTCCTGAACACTTACATTTTTTCATTCAGCAACGCGCCCATGACCTCCATCAGCATTCTTTTTCCAGGGACCCTCCGGTGGTTTGTCCCCTTCCCCTACTTTTCTCTTTCAATGCTTAAGGTTTTTTGTAATTGTATAAAGGTTGCCGGTAATTTTGTTCAATTTGTTTGAGGTCCGTTTTCCTGGCCCTCCGTGCGGATGTTTTTACGCAACGGATAGCTTTCGGGCCACGGTGCGTATAAGTTATGCGATGACTGCATAATACGGCTTACACATGAACTCACCGAAATTGAGGTGGGTGGAGAAAACGGATAGATTTCCTCCATTGGCAGGACATCCGTTTAATCAGGACGATTGTCTTTCGACCTTAGAGAAGGTCCTCAAACAGTCCAACACGTCGTTCACGTGTTTGAAATCGTGAAGGGAAGACAGTAGTTTACCTAATGCTAATTTAATTTGTCAGGTCATTGCAGACATAACGCTCTAATTAGGCCACAATACAAGTAATAATTAGGTAAATTTAAAGCCGAACAAGATAACGAAGTATGGAACTTATATAATGTTCTTATGTGCGTCTAAAAGCCTAATTGCCTAAATTGGTAAACGGCAATTATCAATCAGAAGAAGAGTTGAATGTTTAGGCTTGGCATTCGGTTAAATAAGTTTATTTGCGATAACTATTTTTATCAAGGAATTTAATCTGCTTGTAATTCTAAATATTCCAACATGATTAAAATAAGTATTCCAGCCCGCACCTTTTCAATTACGAAATATTCACTCGCATCTACCAAAATCTAACAAAGAACTGCAACAATTTCAGAGGCAAGTCAAGTGCAAAAAATATGATTAAGAAAACTTAATTAAAGTGAAGTCATCTCGAAAACGACTTGGCCATTTTCCCATTGTATGTGATAATTAAATATGCCGGATTTAATCCATGAGCTGGTCACCGGACGCATCTAAGTAATCGCCAGGCCAGACACTTTAGGGATCCCCAGGACCTTTTACCTGCCAGGCACTCTGTTTTCGTCTTTATTTCATTTTAATTACATTGCAGTTACATTTCAGAATTCTCGGGGCCATTTGATGGCCGGCTTCAGGGCTCTGGCAGTCAAATCAGGCGTATGATAAATTGATTGCAAACGCATACTTACGTGCATATGAGGATGTCCTTGCTCATGCATGCATTTATGAGTACACCCAGGAAAATCTAGATGCAATCGAGATGCAACAGCAATCCACATTTAATTTACATTAATTTACAATCCCCATTTCGAAAACATCATTTTCCAGAAAGAAGTCATGTCATAACTAATCACTTTCAAGACTATACCTCTAATTTTTCTGCATTTTTCTCCCTGTGCATATAGTCATGTGGCATATCTCTGTGCTCGTTTGGCACCGATACTTTTGTGCTTCATCCTGCGAAAGCAGGGCTTTAATAAAATTTTACGCATAAACTGCCTTTGATTGAATTACATTTCATTATTTCGCCAGACATTTTGCGAGGAGCTCGTGGCCAAAATCGTTTCGACTCTGCTCTTTGTTTTGTCACATGTCATTTTATATAGCCAATGTTCTCAGCTCGATTATAATTTCTTCCCTCTGCTATCGGGGTCATCTTTATTTGTTTCTTCGTTTTCACTTAACATATTTTGAACAACATAATTAAACACTTGAGTTATTATAAATGGTAATAGGAATATTTACTGAGCGAATCAAAAACGTATTGCTAGTCTATTCGATGCATTTTTAGATCGATGATTATACATTTTTTAATAGCAAATTATAACATTTAATAGCAACACATTTAAGATAGCTGCGCTTGCGCAAGCTTGGAAAATAAACTTAATAACATTTCGACTTGTTTCTAATTCTTTTGGGGATATGCAGTCCATGGTGGATCGTGGTCGACCGCATTAATGGCTTGATTGGAATAGTCGACTCCTTTTCGGATTCTCTTGCCTTTTCCCATGCTGCTCTCAACGACCTCCTGGGACTGCTGCGACTTATTCTTTTGCTTCTTTGGTAGCTCCGGCCGACTTTGGCCCAACAGGTTTTCCCAGTAGGCTGGGTCAGTGTTCTCCGTATCCTCATTGTAGTTATCCTGCTCATCGTGTTCTTCCTTAGTGGCGTAAGACGCGACCTTGAAGGACGAAAGATACTCGTTGGCCAAAGACTCCTTCTCTTCAATGCCTCGATTGGTACGGTCAAGCAGATCGGCCACCGCCTTGTCGTCGTAGTGAATAGCCTCCCTCTTGCCGTCTTTAAAAAGATCCTCGGTGCCAAAGCGAAGGATGTCAGCGAGCTCGTCCTTTGTGAAATTTACTTCCTTGCCACCCATTCCCGGGCGCACCACAAGATGAGTGAGCATCATCTTGTGCTTGGCAACCTGCATCATGCGCTCCTCGACCGAGTTGTGGGTCACAAATCGGTAGATCATCACCTTTTTTGTCTGACCCATGCGATGGGCTCGTGAGAAGGCCTGAACGTCGTTGTGTGGATTCCAGTCGGAGTCGAAAATAATGACCGTATCGGCTGTGGCCAAATTGATACCAAGCCCTCCTGCGCGAGTGCTCAGCAGAAACACAAACTGTTCCGCTTTGGGCGCATTGAATCTATCAATGGCTCTCTGACGTAAATCGCCCTTGATTAGACCGTCGATGCGCTCGTACTGGTACCCCTCCTCTTCGAGAAAGTTCTCGAGAATATTGAGCATCTTGGTCATCTGGGAGAATATAAGGACCCTGTGGTTGTCCGCCTTCAACTGTTTTAGCATCTTTGACAGCAATTCCAACTTGCCAGAAGCTTTGATCAGCGAATTAATCTCGTAAAGACCACTGGGCGATATGCTAGCATCCTCGGCGGCGGAGGGGAACAGGTACGGATGGTTGCAGCACTTCCTCAGTTCCATCATGATGTTAAGCAGCGAACACACGCCACCGCCGCCTTTCTGTTTTAGGGCCTTGAAGTTCTTGGTGAGGATAAACTTGTAGAATTTCTTTTGCATGGACGAGAGCTCCACGCGTACAATAAACTCAGACTTCGAGGGCATGTTCTTAAGGACATCCGCCTTGAGGCGACGGAGCATATGCGGTCCCAAGATCTCATGCAGTCGTTTCACTTGCTCCTCCTTCGAAACGTCGGCGAACTCGGCCTGGAAGGTATGCAGGTCATTAAACTTGTCAGAACTCAGGAAATTGAGCAGATGAAACAGCTCTTCGAGATTGTTCTGAAGCGGAGTGCCGGTCAGCAGCAGCTTGTAGGCGATGCGGTACTTGCTCAGCGTCCTAAAAAACTTGCTATGGTTGCTCTTTAACCGATGTGCCTCGTCCACTACTAGCACCGCCCAATCGATGATCCCGAGAAGAGGGGCGTCAATATAGATAAACTCGTAGCTGGTCAGCATTACGTTAAATTTGTACTGGGCTCGGTTTTCCCGCATGGTTTTGGTGGTTATCTCATCGAAGCTCAGCTCGTTGTTCCGGATTACCGCTCTAGAAGTTTTGCTCCCGCCATAGGTGATACAGTAAAATTCTGGAGCCCAGAGTTCAAGCTCTCGCTCCCAGTTGGTCAGTGTGGAAAGCGGCACGCATATGAGAAAGGGTCCCCGACAGTGGCCCTCCTTAAACAGTGAGTAAAGGAAAACCACTGTCTGAATGGTCTTGCCCAGACCCATCTCGTCGGCCAGTATGGTGCGGATGCTCTGACCCCAACTGTAGCGAAGCCAGCTGATGCCCTCCATCTGAAAGGGATGCAGTTTTAGGTCAGCTCCCTTTAAGAATACTGGCTGATCCTCGTACTTCTTATTCAGGTCCGTGGTGGGTCCAGGCCTATTTTTTGGGCGTCCCTTCTTGCCGGACCGCAGTTTCTCGTAGTGAGCGATGGCCTGTTTAAGACCCGGGATGGCGTCGTTTTCTATCTCCCAGCTACTATCGGTATAGGTCAACTCCCGCCATTTCACCAAGTAAGTAGTGCGACCATTGGGCTCCTTTCTATGATTGATCACCCGCTGGACAAGGAGCCATCCCGGCTTAATGCCGTATCTGTAGAAGCGCTCGTGCAGATCGCGCTCCTTATCGTCGAACGGCTCCTCGAGACTTGGCGGCTCTTCCATGTCGTTCTTCCTCTGGAAGTTGGCAACTATCGTGGCGTGGTGCACGAGCATCTGCCCTTCAGGAATCCATTCGCAGTGCCAGTAGGACTTATCATACCACTTGATGAAGTACTCGCGGACTGCACCTTGAGATGAGCGGGAAGTGGAGCGTCGGCCGAGGGTCCAGCGCCATGACAATATCTTCTCAGCTTTTCCGGGCAAGGGAATGCAGCGCGGGCAGATCCAATCGCCTTTTGGAATCGATTTGAGAGGAGGAGTCAGGCAGGTTCTGTGGTAAACTGAAGGACAGGAATCGCAGCACAGCAGATCTCCTCCATCCCTACAAACCCTGCAGTATTCTTCTTCGCGGAATTTCCGCTTCATGGCCTTGACTTTCGGCCGCTTGTCTTTGGAATTCGTCCCAGATCTTCCCCAGTGATGGTGAGCCAACTAATTGAGTTTAGTTTTCGCAATTACTACTTCAGAAATGCAAGAAAATTATACCGTTTCTATGGCATTCTACGCGACAACACCTCTCATTCTTTAAAACATACTTTACCATGAAATGCGCGCCAGAAGTGAGCGGTAGTACCATTTATAATCCCAAACAACAAAGACCCGTTCACACTGGGATTCCGAACTGGATAGGTGTGAGGCGCCGTTTACACTAGGAGCTGGTTAAGATGCTGGCGAGTTTTGAAGGTGGTTCAAGACTTATATTGGAAAAGAGCGAAGTTATACTGATCGTGCTGAATAGCAGAGGAAAACAGGTTTGTCTGCTGGATAACAAACAAGAGGTAAACAGGTAAGCTCCTTTAATGTTAGCTTCCACTTGTTGGTTTTTTCGATGTATCGAAAATCACTTATACCTCGTTTGCACGGGCGGGATTACAGCTGATCGGCATTCGATAGTGACACAAAAAAACATGAAGACCTGATCGTGAACATTTCGATATTAATTTCATAAAATGAAAATATAATGCAGATTTTACTAAATGTAGTCGGAAGGTCTCCCAAAAGGAACAACTCCAGATTACTTACATCAGTGCTAGCCTAAGGGCATTTTGGAGAAGAGTTTGATCATTTGCGATAGCAGCCCTAAAGCAATCGAAAATCTATCAATTTATCGATACATTTACCTTAAGGTGAGGTATAAACAGTAATTGGAAATTTAATTAGAGTAAATTTTTTGTCAAGCAATGCAAAGGTTCGAAGCCCCTAAAGTGCTATTAATTTTATGCTTTAACTGGATGTAAATGGACCGTTAAAGCTCCACTCTCCTCGTCGATGCCTTCGTTTATACAAAACCAAAAACCAGCCGCAGAGCAACGAACCGGCAACCGCCGAAACATTTCAAAGACAATCCACCAACAGCGGCAACACCGTCAACAGTCGGCCACACCACCATCCATTCACCATTACCATCGCCATCGCCAACAGGACGAGGACAATGGATTAACTCAAACTCAGACCTTGTAACTGCCTGACCGCACATCCACTGACAGCGCGTGTGGGTGGAATGTGTGCGGAATGGTGGCGGAATGGGGGTGGCTGCTGAATAGGTGGCCAAAGAAGTGAGGGCCAGTTGATGGCCACATGTCACAGACATTATGGAATCATGAACTTATGCGCACCTGTGCGTGCTTGCCGGGGGAGCAGGCGGCGTTACAGGAGTCCATTTTGGTTATACCCGTGTGGACTTGCGGTCGGGCACAGCGATTTGGGGTCCGACTGGAGATGGGTTCGTGACTCGGCGACGATTTCATCGGATAAATGCTTAGCCCAAAGAAGCAGAAACATGGCTACGTACCAAAAATACTATTCACGGTATAGTATGGCACTTTTTATTTGTTTTATATTACTTCATTTAAGACATACCATTCTAACTTCTCACGCAACCATCGCCAATTAAGACCCGGACCATTTCAATCATCAATCAAAGTGTTTTGTTACGACTTTCATACGTCATGTACATGGCTCGGAGCCACCGCTTTTTGCTTTTGCATCCCATCGGAGGCTCCTCGCTATAGTTCCCGCATATCCTGTCCCAATCTGGGGAGCCAGTGATGCGGAGGTGTGACTGCGACACAACGGACGACATTTATGGTGTCGTCGAGAAGGATTCCCATTACAGCCTGCAGACAATCAATCACTGTGCCCCGAAATCAATTGTCGCAGCTCCTATTTTCGTTTTCATCTCATTTCGCTAAATATTTATGAGGCCAACACTTGGGCCGTTCGATTTGTAATCCTAATGAGGCGTAATTAGAAAACATTCAATTACATTTCATCGGCATCAATCAATGGCGCTTTCCATGGCCATTTCAAGGATGTCAAGTTTTAGTAAGCCCAGTTTCAATTTCCCAGCACATTGCTGGGATGCCTCTAGTGCTCTGCCCCGCTCCTAATCCACTTTCCCGGCTACTGTTTCTGTTTGTTGCTCCTGATTGTTGCTAAACTTTTCCTTCGCTCGGCCCACTTGTTTGTGATTAAGCTTTATTGTTAAGAGGTTTAGTGCGCCTTTTGATTTATAGATATTGGATCATACCACTCACCCTGCTCCGCTAACAAAGGAGACTGTGGTTCCTTGCGAAACCGGGAATGTGAAGTTGGCCTGAGCGCGTAGCTTCATAGAAAAACTTCCTAAAATATTGAGGTAGTAGGAGGTATAGTCTGTGCACAGAAAGGCTAAGATGTATGCCTAGTTTGCCTAGTTCTTAAGTTTGGAGATTTGGTATTGCCTTATAACTAAAATAACTTTTCGTGCGATATTTTATTTGATTTCGATATTTTTAGTTTGATTTTCTGATAAAATAATATTTTAAAGCCGTGTATTTGCTCAAGAAAATGACTGCACTTATTTTTAAATTTAAAAGCATTTACTATCTAAAAAGTAGAAAGCTTTCTTATAGATACAGTTTTAGGACCTTAAAGTTATCTTCAATTTGTTGACCTTCAGCAAGCTTGTTTGGCTTAAACATTACCTTTACGTTTATTTAACGTATTGTTAATGCACTTTTAGATTGATCAACCTTTTCTATGTGCACTTTGCGCAGCGCATTGGGAATTCGTGATCCTCTGTGTGTCCATTTAGCGCTTCTCACTTGTGCCTTTGTTGCATACTCTTAGGCGCGCGACTGAACTTGTTTACAGGCAAACTAAGGACCAAGACCCTGGATCCTGTACATTGGCCCAAAACTGGGCGCTGGCTATTCGGCATCCTTGACAGCCGCACAATTTGCTGCCGCGTTTTTGTATCTCTCAGTGCTTGTTTGTCTGCATCAAAGCGCCTGGGTTCTGTACACAGAAAGAAAACTGTGTGTCCTATTAAATCTTGAGTCAAACCATATTTAATATTTATTTGCCTTATGCCCGTGAAACGAGTATTTCGATCCGTGCAACCTTAGCAGTGTGGAAATTAATTTACCTTAAAACAAGTATTTTTCTATCTGTACGATTGTGTATGTGTGCAGTTGGCCTGCAAAAAGTTTGGGCACTGATTGCAAACTTGTTTCAATTGTTTCGTAAACCCAACCGAAGGGAAAACCCAGAAGACTCCCGGTGGGTGGATGAGCCGGGTGGGCTGGGCGGTTTTTGTGGACCGGTTTTTCCGCCATGAAAGTCAAGGCGAAAGCTCCGAGTTCCGAGCTCCGAGGCCAAGGCAATTCGCCTGCATATTTGTGTGGCTTAGTTTTCGTTTCACAAACGAAACGAAATGAAACGAGCGGCATAAAAACCCATTGAAAATTTGCATACGAAAATGAAATTCAAATAGGTTTCCCATGTCCCTCGCAATCAGTTCCGTTACGGCTAGTTCAATCGAAAAAATAGTGAACGAAAACTTTCGCTTTTCCTCCGCCGTTTAAGCCCTGTATTTATGATCCACAATAATGCAAAGGGATATCTCATCTTTGAGGCTTATCCCCTGCGCCAGTTGCCGGTTTTAATCTGAATCGTTTGGCTGACTTTGTTAATCGAGGCTTTCTCTGGACGCTGCAACCTCGGATTTGCGATTCGAACACTAAGTGATTTTTCATTGACTTTGTAATGCAAATTGCCTGTCTGTCCTCCCCTTTCCCTGCTTCTTATTGCGATTGGCTGGCTCTTTGGGCCTTTTATCACAGAAGGACTAGTCTACGGCCCCTTCAACAACTCGAAAGCCAATAAAATGCAAATTTTTTCATCGCGTAAACAAATGCTGGTGAAATGCCTAGAGATGGGGACTCTACGTGTCTGAAACTGCGAAGTAAACCTGTGATTTATGTGAATTACGCTGTGGGCACCTAGAGCCCATATATATGTAAAAGTTTTCAATAACCAATAGCTTCAATGTGCCTTCCCCCCGACACTTTCCTTCTTTCGGTACGAATTCAATAATTGTACTAAAAGAAAAGCCATATAATACAGTGTACATAGGGTCCTATCCTGGCCCATCCTGACAACTCACGATCCCATCCCCAGTGGTCGATGAAGTCCAAAACTCAAAACCCAAACTCATTTCCATCGGCATCAGACTTGACTTGAGCTGGGCCCTCGACTCGCAGCCATTGATTTAATTGTAAGCTGTTGAATTTTGATGGCTTTTAATTGTCTTAAGACCGGTTCAGCAAAAACCAATCAGGGATCCTTTGATAAGACGTGGTGGACGGATGGATGGACAACGAGTCGGGCCGAGGGAAAGGGTCTGTTGTCAGCAGAATAGTTGGAAATTCCACTTAGTGCTGACTACTGACCCACTTATTGGTCACTTCTGGGGCTCTGTTTCCGTCGGACCCCCGTCCATCACCATCCTTCCAAAGTCAGCCACTTGACTAAATAGCACTCAAATTTGATTTTGATTTATGCTGCCCAGCAGTCCGCACCGAATTCCCTCCTCCTTCCCCAACTTCCAGCCTTCCCAGCCTCCTCCTTTTCCCCCACACACATACATACTCGTAAGTACAATTGCTGCCTCATAACTTTGGCATCTAGCGCAGTATGCCTTTCATATTTACATGCTCCTTACACGCGCATCGGCGTGTAACGGAGACGGAGCGCTATTTACACGCAGCGAAATTGTGTTTGTTGGAATTTCTTTATTGATTTCAATGTCCTATAATCAGACATAGTACAAACAAATTTTCAAATACGGGGTTTTTTCTCTATATGTATTTGCTTTTTTTGAGGGATTACTTTATATACAGCCTGTGCATCTATTCTTCCAGTGCACCCTTCGTCTTGCCAGTTTTCAGAAAGGGTTGTCCGAAAAGGGTTGCCTCCGCACTCCGATACCTATTGAAGGCTCGTGAAGCAAACGGTTTCGGCATTTCCTTTTTGTTTCCGCCGGCATCCTTTGGCCAAGACACGGACACCTTCCCCATCCCCCTACGTTTCCACAATGGAAAATACAATTTTCGCAATCTTTGCTTATCTTTTCATCTCTGCGGCTGCCTCGTTTGCTGCACGATTCGCTGTTGCTGCTGTTGGCCATCCAGAAAATCGGTAAAAAGCTAAGATCCATGGGGCGTGGCTGATATGAAGGCGGGGGAGCAGAAGAATGTGTTGGCTGTGTATCTTTGTCCTTTCTTTGTCGGCGGAGTTGGAGCAGTAAGCTCTGAGCATCGGCTATGTCCGAGGTTCGCTTGAAAGATGTTAACTTTTTCCAGTCTAGCACTTATTTACTTATTTTTAGAAATATTGGGAAGCTATATTTTTCCTCCTCGTTTCATTTGATCTTTATAGTTATAAAGTTAAGACCCTACAAAGAGAATCAATTGAAATTTCATGATATACTTATTTTAAGATGAGAATAGCACACCCATATACAACTAAAAACATACTAGAACCAATTAAATTTAACTGTCTTCAGAAAATATTACGATCATGAAATTTATGAATATTTTTAGACATATACTTCCTTACTATTTTTCACAAAATTTATTGCTACTACGTTAGCTTTATATTGGAAAACGTCATAACCCATGCTGTATATTTACCCTATTGAGTGGAAATATTGTGACATCTCGAAAATTGCCGGTCTCCCCTCTCCGTAAGTCAGTTTTGTGTTTCTTACTGCCGTTCGTCGTTTTATAGTTGTCATAATGTGGTGGCCTGTTGCCGCTCCTCTGGCCTGTATTCCCGTGTTCCTTGTAGTACTTTGGAGCTATTGCCACTATTGACTAGCTTCAGGCTCCTCCGCTCCTCCGGTCCTTGCCTCATCTCATTTCTGCATTTTTTAGTGCTTAATGCCAGGACACGGACACAGAACACAAACAAGGAGTCTGCTTGCACCCTACAGTTTGGAGTTTCCTCCCTCAGAATTTCCTCTCCTTTACTGCATTTTTTATAGGCAACACACAAAGGTGTATTTCACTTAACATGAACAGGGATTGCATACATTGTTCCTGTTCAGCGGCTTTTGTCCGTTTTTCCTGGCTGCTCCATGCGTCAAATGAGGATATTCAATTTGAACTTGATATGCATTTTATGTTGTTGCCACGGAGAAACTGGATGCTCAACAAGCGTATTGGAAATCAGAGCAATCATCATCCGATGGGTCAAGGGTCTGAGGATCTGAGGATACAGCTTGGATAAGAGCGATGCAGCCACATTTACATATAAACTCATATTCCGCTTCAGCATTGGAATTAGATAATTCCAAAGAAAGTGGTTTTTGTTATACGATACAGAAACAATGACAATGATACACTATATTACAGTTTATATAAACATGTTTGAAAATATTGTATTCATAAACGACTTGCATAGGTGAACAACTACAGCGATTATTGATTTGGCAAAGTTATTAGGTGCAGAGGTTTATTTATTTATTTTTCGACGGCAGAACAATTTTCACCCAAAAACCAATGCGGTGCGATGCAACATAAATTATTTACTCGAATTACACCTCCTATCCTGCAATTCACAGGGCCTGAAGTCTCACGTTTCGACTGCAATTTCGCCCTGCTCATACCAGCAAAAATGGGATCCTGAATGCCTTCGCCTAACAATACGCACGCAATTACCGCAGGACGAGCAGCCGAAAAGGGCGAAACTTCAACTCCCAAACGCTTGACGAAAGTTTCACAGTTGTCCTGATGACGACCATGATGACGATGATGATGATGATGGTGGCGCTGGCGATGGCGATGACGATGGCGCTGGACAAACTTTTTCCGGGCTCTAATTGCCCAAGTGGCTTTCGAGTTCGAGTCGAGCGTCGCCACGTAATGGAGAAAGGAGCCCCAAACTTTTGCCCAATTCAGCAGAACTGCGAGCACAACATCTTCGGCTGCCGCCGGACAGGACCCCCACTTCTACTTCTATTTCACTCACAAAATGCACAATCAAAGCTGACCGTTGGCGTTATTAACGCAAATGAAAATGGTGCAATAGTCCTACACCTGCGGCCAAAATAGTAGTGCATATTACATAAAACAAAACTTTAAAAGATAGTATTTCTGCAAGCAACCGCTGCTTTTTGTTTCTTACAATTAAATAAATCATTGTTATCCAAATTCTAATCAGCATATTTAAGAAAATCTTAGCTGGTTAAAGAAGGAGCTGGGGATTAAATAAGGAAATTAGAGATTAATGGAAATTTCAATAACATTAAATTGCTATTAGCATTGATATATGTAGATAAATTGTATTATAAATCATTAAAAATTAATCAGTAATCATTATAAGTAGTTTAGATGCTTGATTATACTTTTCAACATAATTAGTTAGACATTGCTTTTACCATATCTGTGCATTGGGCGTGTCAAGAGTGGGTGTTACTTACATATATTTCAATTTACTAGATGGTCAACCATCAGTGTGGGTAGGAGGATGCACTTGGCCTAATGAACTTCAGGGTTCCGGGGCTGGCGAAACCATAAACTCTAACTTTCAGCTCTTTTTCACATATGCAGTGTCGTAAAACTTACGGCTCAAAGGCCAAGACTTTGTCTCCACAGTCTGCAGATTTACATTTTACCTTTTCGGTCTTTTGGGAAGCAGCTTTAGTATTTGCATCCTGCACTTAACTTCTGGGCAACTGCGTAACTTTTGACTCTGCGTCAAAAAGGATGGAGTTTACAGGAACTGGGTAACAAAGTCCTTTAAAGACCTTTGGACCTTAGATTGGTTATCCACTCAACCTATGAAGTTGGCTTTTCAAGGCTGTCTCTAACACCAATCTAATGCATCTTCAAGATACTATATACTCACTGAAAACGCTAAGTAATTTAAGTCGACACAGTTAATTCAAAGACACCAGAATAATAAGATGCGTAACGGCCATACATTGGTTTTGCACTATGCAGCCACTTTTTTGGTGGCGGCACTAATTGCAATAATAAATAGAATTCACTTGCTTGTGTGAGTGAAAACAGTAAACAAAAAAGTTGTGCTAGAAGACGATTATCGGTCCGAAATCAATTTTGATCTAAGAAACGAATTTGATTAATGTTTTGGTCAATTTCGTTGTAATATGAGCTAAATATTATTTAAAATTGATGCCGTGACTATTATTTCTTTTTAAGAAGTTGTTTTAATATTCTTTAGCTTAAATCGCCGCTCGAATTAGCTACCGTTTACATATAAATATTTTTATTATTAATTATCTGTAATATATTATATGTATTTTTTGGTACCCAGGGAACACCACGGGGAGGACATTACAATTGTAATGGGGTCGTATATTTATATGACCATCGAGTCGACTTGAAATAATAAATGTTAAACGTAAAATATTTCCATGTTTATGTATGTATGTATGTATGTATGTATGTTTGTATGTATGTATGCATGTATGTATGTATGTATTTAGTGTATGTGTTACTTGCACAAAGTAGTAAAAATTGTCTTAATTAAAGCCTGAAGAATGTTTAACTTACTGTCGGAACACATAGTTATTGCCGCTCTTTATATTTGCTGAGGGAAAATATTTTCTTGTAGCCCTATAATTCCCAACTAGTTCTAGCGAAGACTGTAAGGCATGTCTTCTAATTTAGAGTCACAAAATAGTAACCTCTCTTACAGGCAGTGAGTGTAGTGTATGTGTAGTGTATGTACCGGTGTATGTAGGTATGTATGTTTGTATTTATGTATGAATCTATGCATGAATCTATGTATGTTTGTATGTATGTACGTATGTATGTATGTATGTATGTATGTATGTATGTATGTACGTATGTATTTATGTATGTATGTATGTATGTATGTAAGTATGTATGTATGTGTGTATGTATGTATGTATGTATGTATGTATGTATGTATGTATGTATGTATGTATGTATGTATGTATGTATGTATGTATGTATGTATGTATGTATGTATGTATGTATGTATGTATGTATGTATGTATGTATGTATGTATGTATGTATGTATGTATGTATGTATGTATGTATGTATGTATGTATGTATGTATGTATGCATGTGTTACTTGCACAAAGTAGTAAAAATTGTCTTAAATAAAGCCTATAAAATGCCCGAAACGAATTTGAAACGCATTGGCAACGTATGAATCAAACGTATGAATCGAAATCTGTCCTGTTTTTCACCCTTTTTTGAAATTTTCAGCCCATTTTTCCGTTTTTTTTTCTCAATCTGTCCTTTTTTTTCAGAAAAATATTGGCATCAATCGTGTGCAAAAAATCGTATGGCGTTACGCATCTTATTATTCTAGTGTCTTTGCTTAATTGTTGCACGCAAGTATAACTGAAGCCACCGCAAACTCATGGCGTGAGTTTCTGTTTGACAAACAAAAAGTGGCCTTGCTGTCGTTGCCACAGATTGTGACAATCTTTCGCTACCTATTTTAAAGCCCAATAAAAGCCGCAAGCCACGAAACCTCAAATCTAAGGAATTATTTAATACCCATTCCAAAGGAGGTATTCCAATCAGTTTCAAATGGAGTCGGCACACAATGGATTGCGGTTTATTGTGCGAGGCGTCATCAGCAGATTTCGACGTATATTCACAGAAATATATTCTGGACACTCCCGTTTCTCAACTCGGTTCATTTGCATCATCGATACGAGAAGACAATCTTCTGTGCAAGATGAGGAATTCAATCTGGTCGCTGTCCTAATGTCCTCGCATTGAATTTTTAATTTAATTTAGCTGTAAGTAAGCGCGCGGAGTGAAATAAGAAGTGAAACTGAGGGGAGGGCGATGGAAAACCAATTTGTTTTATTAAAATCCGGGCGTTGATTTTTGCATAGAAATTGTCTAATCAAAAACAAATTTCATTTGAATAGTGTTTGATGTCGAGACGTGACTTTCTCCTGCCATTTACCCGAAGATTTCCGCCAGGTGATAACCAATAACGACCGGCAGGTTTCTCCTCCACAATTTTCTGGGTCTCAGGAAAACTCCTGCCCACATTTCCCCACCGTTTTTCCAGACTTTCCCGGCCTTCAAAAAACCGCAAGCGGCAAAAATTATGCTATTAAAATGTATTTTTTCAATTAGCTGCCGTCTCCTGCGTTTCTTCGGCTGTCTGTCAAAATATATAGGTATACTTTTTCAGCGCCATTATTAAAAGGTCGGCACACAGCGTGCAATTTTTGTTTTGGGCGAAGGGAACTCAACCCTAATTAGAAAAGACCAGACAAAAGCAACAAAAATTACAGGCTTTGTGTGGCGCAAACAAATTTTAATTAAAACCCGCAAAATTAACTGGAGAAAAAGTGCCGAGAAAAGAGAAAGTTCAACCGCAAAATGTTGCCAAATTATGTGGTTGCAGTTTTTTCCCCAAACGAAAGTAAATATGAAATTTTAATGGTTTACAAAGCAAACAATTTGCTATAAATTTGATAAGTATTAATATGGTGTGTTTGAGAGCAACTCAGTTTATCATCACCTAAAAATCATAATTTATTGGTTAACACATAAAGAGTTAGTTCAGTGGTTAACTAAAGACTACCTCC